AAAAAAAAAAAAAAATTAATTTTAAATAAGTACAAGGAGTACATACTAACATACAAAGTATGGTAAATTCCTAAACCAGTAATGTGGCCCTTCGTTATTAAGTATTAGGTACTGTCCATAAGTGTGCGTGTTCTGCTTTTATATCCCTGGCACCACGTTAGGCTTGTTTACACCTGCATCGCCACAGGCACATGAGGAACGCGTGGCACTGTAATATCACTAGGTGAGAGGAATTTTTCAGTTCCTTCATGGTCACATGGGACCGTGGTCATACGTCGTCGTAATGATGGAAATGTCATTTAGTGTGATATAGGTGACACAGGATGCTTTAGAAGAAGACTAGATGTGGCCATAACCATAGTTACCTGGAGCACCCACGAAAGGCTTAGTAAAAGAGACAGAATGTTTTTGTGAGACAGGGTCCCACTATGTAGCCCAGGCTGCCCTCAAACTCACAGCCCTCCTCCTGCCTCAGCCTCCCGAGTTCTGGGATTACCAGTGTACAACACCGTTCTCAGCAAAAGAGGTAGATTTGAGCTGAGCTACAATCTTAGGGAGTAGAAGATCTAAGAAAAGGTTTGCAGAAATACCTATACAGTAATGCCTCAGTTCACAACACTTCTTTTGCGAACAAGTCAATTCGCGAGCGGAAGCAGTCAGCAAAGTTTTGCTTCTGTTTGTGAACTTCGCATCAGATGACAAACACGAATGCAGCCGTCCTCTCTAGAACAAATTAATTTCATAAACTGAGGTCCTACTGTATTTAGTTGTCTGTATTCTCAGGCTGCTCACAGATTCAGCTAACCTTGGATAAAAATGTTAGCAAAAACAAGTTGCATCTGAACTGAGTAAGTACAGACTTTTTTCTTGTCATTACAGTATAGAGTATTAACAGAGTATTAGCACAGTATTAACAGTAGTAGCAAAGCGTGTGTATTAGATCAGGCATTGTAACTGCTCTGGAGATGATGTACACAGGTAGGGAATACACAGGTGCTGCGCCAGCGTAAGTAAGAAGCCTGGGCATCCGCAGGTTTTGGGGTGGGGTGGGCTGCTGGGCCTTGTCCTCTGTGGACACCGAGGGATGCCTGTATTTCAGTGTTGAGCAGCAATAAAAAGACTGGCTGGATTGAAACGAAGGATTTTTTTTAGAAGTATGGTGGGTGATAAATGAAACTTCAAATTGATTTTTGTACAATTCTGTTGCAGAAAATATTAAATCCAAAGTGAGGAAATAGAATCTAGAGTTGTTGGCCATTTCAGAACAGGGGAAGGCAGTCTCCTGCTGAGCCTGGCGGTCGGTAAGCCAGCTCATATTTATGGGTCCTCTTGGTAATCATGAATCAGAATACAGCCATGAGGGGAACAGTTGACCCTGCTACAGGGTCCCCACTGGGGGCATTGCCTTGCCATGGCCCAAAGTGATGGCCCAAGTGACCATAGACTGCAGCCTCTGGAACTGTGGGCCAAAGTAACCCTTCCCTGCTGAGAGCTTGTCTCAGGTCTTTTGTCAAAGTGGCAGGAAGCTCCTGCAGCGTCCGGTTAGCTCGTCTGTGTCTTCAGTGGGCCACACAGTGGCTGAGTATACGTGATGATATACATCATTATATACATGCGTATATCATCTAGTACGCACGCCTAGTAAATGGTAGGCTTCTTTAGCTTCATTCATCGTCGTACAGGTAGGGGACTGAGGCTTAGAGAAAGTCCAGGAATGCAAAAGAAGCCACAGGTGACGGAGTCCAGCTGTGCTTACTTGGGGGTAGATGTTCTTCGTTGTCTCAGTCATGCATCGACAAATTGCTAAGTTGCTCTAAACAGGTGAGTGGCAGGAGAAATGGAAGGATGAGAAGAAGGAAAGATGTTGAAAGAAGAATCAATAAGACTTAATGAATTTTTAAGAATACTGCTATATTTCAGGCACTGTGTGGTGTTTTATTTCCATTCGTTTCTCAAAATAACTCCTCCTCAAAGTAGGCATAAAGGTATCTATTTTTAGATTTGAAAATGGAGACTTCCTGGGGTTGGGTGACTTTCCTGAATCTTACAGATTTGAATCAGGGACATGTGGCTCTGAATATTGTACTTTTCCTTTAGACCTGTGTTTCACTATGGAATATTCCTAATAATTACCTCGGTACTTTTGAAGCAAAGATTCCATCCCTTTTTCTTTTAAGTATTTTATGATTCAAAACAACATTGTGTAGTGCAGAATTTTACAGACTTTCTTGTTCAGAATTTGCAGGGCAAATGGTAAGTATTCAGATTCCCAGGAAGTTCAAAATGAGCTGTGTTAATGTAGAAAGAAACCAGGTCAAATAGTGGCCCTGTCATGTGCTTTTCAGGTTTGGTTAACGATAGGAAGATGTATATACCATCAGCAGGGAGGGAATATCAGTAAGAAACAGGAACATAGCTGTTATATCTGTTAACGTAAGAAGAAATATGAATGAGGCTTGTTAATTAAAATGATACTTTGCTTCTGTTGTATCAAATTTTATTTTGACTTTGTTGGTCATGTATCCGGTATTGATAAAGAACAGAGCAAGGACTACCCTGCTTAAAATCCTTGAACGAATCCCTTCAGAATGCAGCCTGAGAACACAGACAATGGTACCGGGGCTCTCCTCCCTGCTGGAGCTTTTCCCTCCCCACTGCTCATCTCTGCGCCCTGGCCGTGACTGCCTGGGTGGGGAGCAGGGGCTCTGCCCTGGGTCTGTGTTTTGCTTCTTCCTTGCCTGTGATGTGGAGTAGGCGCCAGCAGATGTGTGTGTGGCCAGGGCCATCGCCTGCGCTCTTCCCTTGCTGCTTGTCTCCGCTGTTTGATTTGGATGGATAGCGATTAATAGCATAATCTGGATCCCCAGTGCCTGGGGTCGCGTCTTGGTTTACACCCTCGTGAGCAGTGTGCTAATTATTTGCCAGCTCTGTACGTAAGGATAATTCAGCCACTTCGTGGTGCTGTTTCGAGTCTTGGATAGATAAATACATTAAAGATCTTAGAACAGCATTAGATATATAGTAAGGGCTATAGAAATGCCTTTGTAGAAAATAAAAATAAAGCCGCCTTTCCTCTCTCATTATTGTCCTCCCAGCCTCCCTATCTGACCTTCTCATCTTTTTGTCTGGGTCATGGTTAACAGCTTGTGGCTGATCTTCTTGCCTCTAATCTTGCTTTCCTCCAGGTCAGCCTCCTTGCTTTTGTTAAAGTGAATGAGCTTTCAGAAATACAAATTGGATGCCAGTTGTGGTGGCCTATAACCCCAGCGCTTGGGAGGCAGAGGCAGGAGGATCACTGAGAGTTCAAGGCCAGCCTAGACTACGTAGATTACACAGTTTAAGGCCAACCTGAACTGCATACACCAAGACCCTGTCTCAAAAAAAAAAAAAAAAAAAAAAAAGAAAAGAAAAGAAAGAAAGAAAGAAAAAACAAAATTGGATATTGCTGTACCCTGCTTGAAGATATTTTCTGGCCCTCCCAGCAAATGGCTTGGATGAATCTTGTCATATAGATTACTTTGCCTAGGGGCTGGGGATTTAGCTCAGTGGCACAGCGCCTGCCTGGCTTGTGCAAGGTCGTGAGTTTGATTCCTGTACTGGAAAAAACCAAACAAACAAACAAACAAACAAAAAATAGGTTACTTTGCCTACTGCTTCGCCTCAGCCTTTTTCTTTTCCTTTGCTGATACCCATGGTACCAGACTCCACATAGATGTTTAGTTTCTTCTTTTTTTTTTTTTTGTCTTTTTGAGACAGGGTCTCCCTATGCAGTTCAGGCTGGCCTTGAGCTCACTTTGTAGCCCAGGCTGGTCTCAAACTCGCAGCGATCTACCTGCCTCAGCCTCCCGAGTGCTGGGATTACAGGCGTGTGCCACCACGCCTGACTGACGTTCAGTTTCTTGAACACATTATTTCATTGCGTTGTTTTCCTTCTTATGTTACTCCTCCGTCTGGCATATTAAAAATAGATATTGATTACTTTTTGATTTCTGTTTACTATCCTGATCAAGCTGCCACCCTGTCTTACAGGTTATTCACTTACGTGTTCAGTTCTACTGTGAGGCTGAGCTCTTGCAGGGGAGGAACTGTGGGTCGGATATGACAGTCAGCTTACCATGTAAAGAAATTTGGTGACTCACGTCCAATTACCCTATTTTTTGGATTTCATCCACATTGAGGATTGTTAGACTTTCTTTTGGATTTAGCATTAGAAGTTCAGAATTTTGATCTTTGTCTAAGAGACCATTAGAAAATTTTAAAAATTGAAGGTGGAGATTAGAAAGGAGAAAGGAGATTTATTAACACTTTTGGGGACTTGGGTAGAGAAGTGTATTCTGAAATTAACATACAGTTTACAAAGTCATGTAACTTGATTCAGAATATAAAATTAAAGGACAGAGTGTGAGGTTTATTCTGTTGCTTATGAAAACGGGCATGAAGACGTAAAAGACTGCTTAGATACCAGCTGAAATGATACCTGGGAACGCAGCATGAGCTGTTCAATGCAGTTATCAGCAGGTCCTTTTCACTGTCTGTAATTTTTAAAAAGGGTTCTAGTGTTTTTCCCTTTCTTTTTTTTCAACAGTCATTCTTTAAATTCTGTTCTTTTTAAGCTTTTTTTTTGATAGCACTTTAGTAAAAGCTATTTGTATTCTGACTTTTCATTACAAAAATACAGTGTTTAAATAAATTAGGCTATGGTCCTATTTCGTAACAGTACTAAATATATTGTCTTTCTAAAAAAAAAAAAAAAAGGTCTTTTGGGATGAAACTGCTGACTTGATGTAAATTTATATATATACTCTGTTACAAAGAACGATATATTTTTATAATTTTGTCTCTGGCTTGAGCTAGAGCCTTGACCTTCGTTCTAAATCAGTTACGATCCTGTATTACTCTTCACAGGTGGAAGAGGGACAGCAGTGGAAATAAAATCACCCACCCTGTTTCTGGGAAGCACATCTTACAGTTTGTTGCAATAAAAAGGAGAGACTGTGGAGAGTGGGCCATCCCAGGGGTGAGCATTACAGTCTGTGTTTAAGATTGTTGCAGTGGGTTTGCTTATTACAAGGTTGCAGTGTGTGGATCTTTACTAGTCCATTTCCCTGCAGTTTCTTCCCACTTCAGGACTTTTCGTCAGTGCAGGGAAGTGTCATCCTTGGTAACAAGGTTAGCATGATAGGATGCCGTTAGAATCTGAGTGTATTTCTGACTTAGGGAGAGAACATGGGCTTTGGAGTTAGGCCTGCTTTGTGTTCAGGTCTCTGCAGTTGCAGCTGGGTGATGGGGAGCTCAGGCCACTAGAGACGGCACAGAAACAGATATGCAGTCGGCACGCTAATGTGGGGTCCTGTCTCACCCCGCCTCCAAGCTCAGAGTAGTAATTTTAGTGTTATGCTTGAATTTGGGCAACTTTAGACATGATAAAAAAGCTTTTATCTCTTATTGATTGTTGTAGTTTAAAAAATTTCCAAAATATCATTGGAAGAGTTTACTTTTGTTGGCTTACAGTTTGAATTTATCCCAGTGAGGTAGTGACCTTTTAAAATATGTATATGTGTGGTAAAAGGTTTTATATTTTATGCCTTATTGTGAAATGGAAATAGTGTGTGTGGGGATCATTCTATAAATATACCACTATCTGCAAGAATAATTTTTTCTTTGTAGGATAAAATGGAATAGAATTAAAGATCCCTCATAAAAGCCCAGGCTAACTACTACGCACCAAATCACCAAATTTCACTCAGGCTGACTACAGTAACATAATAATGATTCCATCATAGGATTTTATCTCTTCATCGTCATTTGAAATTGTGATCCCTAAGGCAACTCTTGTCACTGACACAGTTTTGAGAGTTATTTACTCAATATGATTTGAATATCTTCCTTTTTTTAAAGCATTGAGGAGGTAACAGAGCAATTTAAGCATTCCTGTCTTTTGGGACCCACATTCCAGTGGGACAGACAGAGGAGATAGTAAGTTAAATATATTAGAAGGAGAGAAGTAGTAGAAAGAAACTTCCTAGGGAGGGTCTGAGGGTTTGCGGTTTTAGGCAGTCACTGCCTGTTTGGAGAAGACGTCCCACCGAGGTGACGTCGGGGTGAGAGTCTGAAGTGGGGGAGTGGACGGAGTTACTAGCAAGTGCGCAGGCCTCCGGTAGGGGGGAGTGAGGGGTCCCAGGAACGCTGGAGTGCGCCAGGCAGTGGAGGAGAATCGACTTGCTGTGTTCTTCGCTTCCAGGCCTTCTCTCTTTGGAAAGTACTAGGAAAAGAACTGGGTTAGTGCAGTTTGTCGGAGGCTAACTTTGGACCAGCCACTGGTGTACTGCACAGCTTCTACTAGAAGCAGACGGTTTAGAGAAAAGCACAGCACGGGAATGAGAGTCACCATTGTTGGTGTATTGAAGGGTGATGTCTTAGTTGCTTCCTTGTTGTTGGGACAAGATACCCAACACCCACAATGTTAAAGGAGAGGTGTATTTTGGCTCACCGTTTGTAGAGGTTTCATTTCATAGTCAGCTGGCTCCCAGGCCCGGTGGCGTGGCAGAGGAGAAGGAGTCCCCGGCAGGCAGCAAACCGTGAAGCAGCAGTGAGCTCCCCTTTCTCCTTTATGCCAACATGGCCATAGGCCTTTTGGGTGGTGCCACCCACACCCAGACTCTGCTAAACCAATCCGTGGAGTAGTCCAGTACCACACATCCTTAATCCCAGTATCACCTAGCCCTGATCCAGTCACCTCTGAGAAGCCCCACCTGTGAGTGCATGAGGCTGTGGGGGAACATCTGGATACAGCCAGAAAGGGTGGATACCTGCGAGACTACCCAGTAGACATTGAATGAATCAAGGCTCCTTGCTCTTCTTTGTTCTTTTAAATGTGATGCTTAGGGGATGGTGGATCCGGGAGAGAAGATTAGTGCCACACTGAAAAGAGAATTTGGTGAGGAAGCTCTCAACTCCTTACAGAAGTCCAGCGCTGAAAAGAGAAAACTGGAGGAACAGTTACACAAACTCTTCAGCCAAGAGCATCTAGTGGTAAGAGTGGTGGTTCTTGGTAGGGCCTGGTCTTACGGATTAATGAGAAATAAAGTTCACCTGGAATGTGGTAGAACCTTCCTAAATGAAGTAGACAACCTGTAATGTGAAACACAGATTCATGATGACTTTAGGTTAATTTTTTTATTTACTCTTTTTTCCTCTTAGTTATTCTTGAGGCACAAGCTAATATAATAGGCCATTTTTTTACATGTTGTGTGTCCATCCAAGAGAAAACCTTCTTTTAAAATTAATGAATCCAACTTTCTCTGAAAGGACATTCACATTTTAAATTATGTGATACAGAATTTTACTGGTGGAATACCATTTAAATATCACGTCTGTTTTGTCTGTATATTCTCTAAAAATAAAAAAGTACCTTATAAAGTGTTTGTGCACCAGTAAGGGGAAGAATAGATTTTATTTTTGTGGATTTTCTTTAGAATGCTTTATTTTCTTTGCAGAATTGGGATTTCTTAATTTTTTATTAATGTTTTAAAAAAATTTTTATTAATGTTGCCCGCATATTTTGGATCATATTTGTGTCAGGTCCAATTTTTTTTTTTTTTTTTTTTGGTGGCACTGGGGGTTGAATCCAGAACCTTTGGACTGAGTTATAGCCCCAGGTCTTCAATTAATTCATTTACTTTTACCTTGAGATAGGATCTGGTGGAGTTGAGTTGTCCAGGCTAGGCTTGAATTTGGAATCCTTCTGCCTCAGCCTCCCAGTAGCTGGGATTGTAGGATCCAAATCGTTTCATGAATTTGGCTTAAATATTAATCTAGATCTCATATGTTTAACTAGAAGAATCTGCCTTTCTGTTTATGAAATTATAATCACAGGAATCACTGTAAGGAGAAGGGCTTAAATTATAGATCCTTTTAAAAAATCCCATAGCCCAAATCTGAGTGTTCTACCTTTTCTTATAATCCTGGGGATGAGGGCAGGGCCCCCCAGATGCTCAGCCCTCCACTCCTAAGCTACATCTGCAGCCCCTGTCACATTTGAAATTAGAGTCTGAGATGTAGAGGGTCTTACGTATTTTTGAATGCCTCAGAAAAGGATATTATTCCTTGAGAAGTTTAAATCAAGGGAATGTCAGAGGTACATGAACAATTCTGTATTTACATTTCTCTTTAGAAATTTTTAGTTAAAAACAAAATTTACCTTCGTAACTATTTTTATGCATACAGTTCTGTTAAGTTTTGTGCAGCAGGATTTTTGAATCTAGGGATGATAATTCGCTTCTGTTCTACCCACTCTTGTTGTATCCTGGCCTTTTTTGAGGGAGTCCTGGGGATTGGACCCAGGGCTTTTGCTCTGAGCTACATCCCCAGCACCTTGTAATTTTAAGACAGGGCTTGCTGAGTTACTAACTTGCTCAGGCTGGGCTCAAACTTGTGATCCTCCTGCCTCAGCTCCACAGAGTGCTGGGATTACAGATGTGTGCCGTCACATCTGGCTAACTATCTGCCTCCTTTAAAAATAGATATATAAGGGATATGTTGATGATCCTCGAAACACTGACAATGCATGGATGGAGACAGAAGCTGTGAATTACCATGATGAGACAGGTAATTTCTATCAATTACACGGATGGGAATTGAGGATCAGTTTAAGCCTAGCAGCCTTACACCTGCACCGTGTTAGTATTGCAAGCCAAATAGTGATTGACTCTAGGATTGCACAGTGTGTGTATAAAAGCAAAGCTGTTGGTACTGAGGGAATTCATGGAACGTAGTCTCAAAAGTGTTATCACCAGCCCCTAAAATTTCTTTAACCTGGCGTTAGCTTGTGAAGTTAACCTTGGATTTATGGACTTCAAGGATGTGCTGTAAAGTTCCCATGCTATTTGTGTAGCATAATTCCATTTATATAAAACAAGCAACTGAGTATTTGGGTGGGAAGGAATGGCAGTGATAAAAGAAATGGGATTCTGTAGTTGTCATACTCTTCGGAATATTTTTGTAATAGACACGCCTTATTAAAGCGCAGAACAGTGCCGAAAAGATTGCAAGTTGTAAAACAATTTAAAATGAATACTTCTGCTCCATGGATTTTAAAATTTATTGAGGGAAGTCAAATCTTTCTCTGAGAAGGAAATCTGCTGTCATAAAACTTAAAGTCTTTCCACATTGAAGGGTTTCTGTTGAAGCCTGTTCTGTTGCTGAGGGGAAGGTGTGTTTGTGGTGTTTCCCTGCAGCATAGTGGAGTGGGGCCTGACCCAGGAACTGGGTGTTCTTCGCCTCGCTTCTTCAGGAGCTGTGTGACTTCGTGCACATCACTTGCCCTTCTGGACTCAGGGCTGAACCTGGAGGACCTGTCACTTTTACATTAGAGCTTTTCTGTGTTGGGCTTGGGGGAGACTCTGGTATTGAGAACTTAGGAGAAGTCACAGAAATCACTTAGAATCACATTTATACAACTTAAACTGACAGATTTTTTTGTTTTGAGGGTTAAGAACAATGACTTCTCCAAATGGTTTTTTTTTTTTTTTGGTACCAGGAATCAAACTCATGACCTCAGGCTTGCCAGGCAAGTGCTTATGCCACTGAGCTACATCCCCGGCCCCTCCAAAGGTTGATTGCACAGCTTATGAAATCTGAAAGCTCAGATAATCTGAAAGTCTTTGGCTTATCTAAGTTTGGCTGTTAAGCTTGTTGGTCTCTGGAGACTACCCTTGGCTTTTTACATGACTTGTAGTTTATGTTGAAAGCCGAACCATGATTTACCTGGTGATGAGAATTAAGGCAAGTGGGCCTTTAGTGTGAGGTGTCATGCTTGTCTGGCTAAGAGTTAGAGGTGTTTATGTTTGCTATAGCTGTGTCAGAAGTTAAAATATCTTCTAGTGTCCTTGTTTTTATCTTCCTTGTTTTTTTTTTTTTTTTTTTAGCCAGGGCCTTGCTGTGCAATTCAGGCTGTCCTTGAGCTTACTTTGTAACCCAAGCTGGCCTTGAACTCGCAACTATCCTTCTGCCTCAGCCACCTGAATGCTGGGATTACAGGTGTGTGCCACCATGCTGGCTCCATCTTCCCTGTTAAGTTCGGGTTCCTCTAAAGCTCTTTTTTGGAGTAGTACTGGGAACTCTTTTCTTGTTGTGTAGATGGGAGTGCTGAGTCCTGAACTCTACATTGAACCCAGGCCTTTTGCACTGACCTAAACTTTAAAAAAACTTTAAAATTTTAAGACAGGGTCTCACTAAGTTGCCCAGGCTGGGCTTGAACTTGGGATCATCCTGCCTCAGCCTCCCGGAATGCTGTAATTGCAAGCATGTAGCACCACACCTTGCTCCGGCAGAGGTTACTTAATAAGGCTGATAGGGTCTGAGCTATGCCTCTTTCAGTGTATTCCCCGTTCTGGTAGTAAGTTTGGAGGCAGGGGAATATAGGAGAATCTTATGGTGGGTCTCAGTTCTTTAGTGAGCCCGTGTCTGCGGTGTGATCTTCACGCCTGCTTCTCAGCTTCTCTTCGTCTTCCTCTCATCCTTAGGGCAGCTAGGAAGGCTGGTGGGGGCTGCGGTTGGGTATTTGCCCTCCCGGAGGTCCGCTAGGCCTTGGTAAACTGGTTTTCCGTGAAGGCGGTATGCTGTGGGCGTATTTCAGAATGGATGCTTTTCCTGCCTCCCTGCGAGAAACGAGAGGGTGTGTGTGTGTGCTGTGCCCTCAGTTCTCTGACGGAGCTAAGTGGAATTACTGATTTTCAGTTCTCCTCTTTCCTTGTTGTATAGATGGGAGTGCTGAGTCCTGAACGCTCCATGTCAGACTTTCTCTCTTTCATTTTGTATCATTTACTAGGTGACCTGAGGGACAAGTAAAAGAACATTGTAGACATTAATTCTGACTCGGAAAAATGACGTTAGAGGCAGTTGTCACTTAGATGACCCGATGCTTCCGTCCCCCTTCTCTTCGTTTTGCAATGCTGGGGATGGAACCCAGAGCCCTGTGCCTGCTCGGCAAGTGCTGTACTGCTGAGCCCCACCGCAGCCCTTCAGGTTGGCTTTGTGCTTCGTTTCCTCGCTGCTGGCTAGATGCAGGCGCAGTGAGGACATGCACAGAACTATTATTTAGGCATTGGGATTGGAACTCTGTGTGCTGAAATGTAAATTAGTTCTTTTTATGAAGATGGTTATTATGCAGTAAAAGTAACTGAAAGTCATTAGAAAATAGGTGATGTAAAGGGGAAAATATTTTAAAATTATTATTTCATTACCCAGGAGTGTGCATTTCCTTCTAAAAACACCTGATAAACATTGCCAAATTGTCCGGTAGAAATGTGCCACTTGTATTCCTGCAAGAGCACTTACATTGCTTTTTAATAATTATAATGAGAAATACTTTAATAACACACTGATGTGTATGTATAAATGTAATCATAAATACCTCCTATTTCGTGTCTGCTGTGGTGTTGCTTGAATATATAACATTGTGCAGAGAAAGAAAATTCGTGTTTTTGACGGTGGTTTCCTAATGACCAGGTGAGATCATGGACAATCTTGCCCTGGAAGCCGGGGACGATGCTGGCAAAGTGAAATGGGTGGACATCAGCGACAAGCTGAAGCTGTACGCGAGCCACGCGCAGTTCATTCGCCTCGTGGCAGAGAAGCGAGATGCACACTGGAGCGAGGACGCGGAAGCCGACCGCCACGGGCCCTAGGCTGCGCTGCAGGCCTGAGAGGCCGTCAGGAGCGTGTCCTGAGGAGAAGAGTTACAGCTCGTGTGGGGACAGCACTGGCGAGGTTACCCAGAGACCATTTCAGTCACATTCAGAATGTTTATATCCAGGAGGTTCAGAATAAAATGAGTGAATGTGATAAAATTTCCTCTTTCTGGCCAAAAGGACTTGATACAGTAATATTTTGTACTTGTTCTATTTTTTTTTTTTTTTTTTTTGGTTTTTCTCCGGTATCGGGAACCGAACTCACGACCTTGCGCTTGCCAGGCAGGCGCTTTGCCACTGAGCTAAATCCCCAGCCCCTGTACTTGTTCTATTTAAGCATGCCGTAGACCAAATTTAAATAACTGCTGCTCTTCGACAAATTGTAACTAGAATAAAAACGAGTTCCCCATTGACTGTAACTTCTGCTTTCCATCTAGTTCTTGTTAGTTCTTTTTGTCCTGTTAATCTGAAAAAGGTGAAAACTTTGTGTATTCTTGACTGAGTCATCTGTGTCCTAACTTACACCTATTCCTTTAGCCAAGGTCAGGACCAACGAAGGAGAGTTCATATTCTCATTTTAAGAAATCCTAAACTTAATCTGTCCAGGGAGTTAGTAATTTGGAAATTTTATTGTGTTACACCTTCTGTGTGCCACAAATGGATTAAAAATGGGTGTAGAACGGAATAGAAAGGAATGGAGGTCAGGCAGAGTCTGAGGGTGGCCCTTGTGACTGACAGTGCTGCTTTTGTTTTTTGTTCATTTTTTGTCTTTTTGAGACAAGTTCTTACTGTGTAGTTCAGGCTGGCCTTGAGCTCACTTTGTAGCCCAGGCTGGCCTCAAACTCACAGCAGCCTCCGGACTGCTGGGATTACAGGCCTATGCCACCACACCTGGCCAGTGTTTTTATTAGGGAGTGTTAAGGTGGAAGTAAGTTTTTCAGAGATATGTGATTAACATTCTAAGTCCAGAAAGCAGAAGGTTGGTGTCCAGTGTCTGTCTCTTGGAAGTAAGGAAGGGGAAAGAAAAATAACCCTGTGTTGTCCCAGTGGACCTGTGCACCACATCCAGGCCGAAGAGAGCCACTGAGAAGTCCCGCAGTTCCAGCTCCCGTCTCCCTGCGAAGGAGCGGTCACGCTTGTTCATTCCAGGTGGAATACAGCTGGGACGTCCGAAGGGAAGGAGGCTGGGGGAGAAGAGACGTGGTAGTTCTCTTCAGATGTTTGAGAAAGGGATTTTGAAGCTTGAGAACAGAACTAGGTGAAGGCAAACGTTTGTTGCTTTGGTTTGGTTTTTATTGATCAGCTATTAGAACTTTTTTGTTGGTAACCCTGAACTGAACTGCCAGGAGGTCTTTCCCCCTTAGTCCACCATAAAGGTTTGCTGAGAAACATTTACATGTGTGATTTCAGGATACCTTGAACCTGTTGGAAGAGGTTCCTAATTAGTTATGTAAGAGACTTAAACACTTGATAAGGGTGACTTCCCCAGGGGTGGGAGGTTGTGGACCTTGCCTCAGCAGGAAAGAGCTTTGACTGTCAGACTAGCAAGAAGAAATTTCTCCTTCTGGCGTGAAATAGGATTCACTGAACTTGACACTACTTAGAGACGCTCTCAGGAAAATGTGAGCACCTTCATGAAAAATGGCATTTATTTATGTTTCATAGTTTTGATATATTTAAACTGAAAGTAATAAAGATGTTGCATTATGTTAAAATTTTATTTAAAGTATGACTAAAACAAATGACCGGTGTGTAGGTCACAAATTCTTTGTTGTATTTTGGAGTTTTCCCTGGAACTTTTAAAGAGTATGAAAAATGATAAAACTTTCATTTGTAGATGAGCTAGAAACATATAATCTTCTGATAACTGTAAATATTCAGCACCATCTGAATAGGAAAAACCAGATGAAAACATTAGCTTAAGACCTTTCCAGAGTACACGTGCTTCTGTGTCACCAGGTAATATTCCCTTCCTCATTGGCATTCTCACGTCTTAGGTATAAAGGACATTCTTTGTTTTTCTTTAGAGACATGTAGTAAAATAAGTGATAATAGATAACATTTAATGAATATCTGTATTATATCAGAATTTTCATAAGTGTCCTGTGAATTGGGTGGTATTACTCTTTTACAGATGGAGAAATAAGTAGTTTGAAATGCTGTCTAGGGTTTTATCTAGTAAAGAACCCAGCTTGGATTTGAATCTCTGTCTTCCTAGGTCTGGAATCTATTTTTTGTCTGTTCCCTCTTGGGATTATGAATCTTTTGTGATCTGTTACTTTAGGGTGCAGTTGGGAAGCTTATGTTCCACAAACAGTGCTCGTATCAGCCACAGTAACTGTGACTTGAGACGTAAGGGCCGAGCCTGATGGGATGGCATTGCTGAGATTGCTCACATGAGTTTGTCACAGAGGCAGTTCCTTTGACCTGAATCTTAGAATAAGTCAGCATTTGCATTCAATCAGTATTTGAACAACCAGTATTTGCTTTTCCAGCAGCTGCTCTTGAGCCCCCTAAAGCATTTCAAACGCAAATATGCTAAATGTACTTAAGGGCATAATTGTCTTAAAAGTAATGCACAGTAGCGCTTGAGAGATATTTGGACATTTACTCACCATGCATAACTTCTGGCATCATAGCGATGGCATCATTTCTGTTGAAATAGACAATGCAGATTATAGTTATTATATGAAGACATTTTCACAGTAATTACTTCCTCACCCCGACCCATCTGTCCCATTTTATGGTTATTTTATTGCTGATGTGTTAATATGAATATGATTGTGTGGATTAGGGGTAGGAAATGATGTAGTTCTGTTACATTTAAATGCTGATAAATTGAACCAGCTGTCTTTTCTGAAGCAAGGAGCTTCATGTGTCTCATGTGGCCTCTGACAGCCTGGTTCAAGTGTCTGAAGTAGTAGGAAGCACTAAGTCAGCGCTTTAGGGCAGTGCAACTTGTTGGAAGGGAAACTGCTGGGATTCTCACACTAGGATTGAAAATACTTTGATTCATCAGTTTATGTCTTGGTAGATTAACTAAACACATACTATATGTAATTTTAATCGTAAAATAAAGTTTGCAGCTTTCCGCCAAGCAAGCTGATGCCCTGTGTTAGGAGGTGTATTCACTTGCCTTGCAGTCAGCTCCCACTGGGTCTGGTAATTTTACAGTAGGTTGTTTTCATTGTTTACTATGAATTGTCCATGAAATAGAAGTAAGCTGGAGGTAGACTTTAGTGTTTGAAATTTCTTAAACTAATATTGGATATATTTCTGTAAACAAACTTTGTGAGAGAACGGTGGGCATTCTGAGAAGAATACCTTTTTAAGGACCTGTAGAAATGTAAATTTAAAGGTCTCAGGGGAAACTGAGACTCATGAGACCTAATTGGATAGATCAGTTGGGTTGACCTACCGTAAGCTTTTATACTTCAGAGGAGTTACTCTTACCTTTCCTGACACGGAGTGTTACTTTCATCAGTAAAATCATAAAAATAAAATCTTACCCCAACGAAGCCCTGAAAATATAAAAATAAAAATATTATCTTCAGTTCATTCAGTAAATTTGTAGTTTATAACAGCATAAAGATAAATAGACTTACCCTCAGTTGGTTCAAGATAGAAGTGATCAGCTGTGAAAGAAGACAAATCAATGATCAATACTATCAGGAGGTTTATTTTGAACTGATCCTTTTTTTATTTATTTAAAGAGAAAAGAACAAAAAGACAAAAACAAAAATGATACAGAATTTCAAAACAAGATGATAGGAAGTGAACAGTGGTTGTATTACATACTATCTTCAGAGTAGTTGCTCAGATTACCAGATATAGGTATGTAAGATTGATTAAACAATTAAACATGAGTTGTTCCTTTCAATAAATCAATAGAAATTAGTAGTACAGTTATCTTAGCTATCTTGTGTGTATATATATATTTTTTCACTTCTATCTTTTCTCACTTCCCTCGTTCCAGTTATGCTTTCCTTTTGAGCAGTTCCTTTCCCTTTCACAATATTTATTGTACCTTTCAGATTTTATTTACTTTTTCAGGTTCTTACAGTAGGGAGACAATATAGTGTTTACACATGCTCATCTTCAGTTTAGTGCATGGGTAAGCTGAAATAGTTTATATGCAAAAATTTTTTTTTTGAAAAATTACTCCCATACTATTGTGTAGTATTTTGTTTACATGATGTAAGATTTTAAAACAAAGATGCAATACTTAGCTATAAGTTCATTTAGTTCACAGCAACGTTTCCTTGTTTTGTAACTGTGCTCACAACATTTGAAAGTTAGACAGCAGATTTGAATGGTTAAGAAACACCCAGGGTTCCCTTCATACAAGTGCTGCATTTCACCAGGGACGCACATTGCCTGCTGAGTGACGCTTGAGTCGGAATCTCAGTGCAGCTTCGAATACATACTTTGTCTCAAGGGTTTGCTTGCACAAGCTGCTTTACTGGAAAAGTACTGTTTTGTAGTTTCTACCTGGTTCTTCTGTTTAGGGCTCAGCAGCCAGCCCGAGAAATCAACCGCACTACATAAGGGTGACTCCCTTTACTTGGAGAGCTGTGGGCCCCAGAATATATGCAAGAGCGTTTATTCTAGACATTGCCGACCTTGGTAGTTGTCAGGTAAGAACAGTGCTCCAAGGTAGTGCTTGTTCTTTTAGAGCGTCCTTTCCTACCCTCTGCCTTCAGTAGGAGTGGCGAGAGGAGAAAACCCTCATCGCCATGTGGCTATGACCGTTCTGTATGTTCTGTCAGGATCCTTTCCCAGAATAGGTTGCGGCCAACAGTGCTTTTGAAAAGCGCTGGTAATTCGAATGAGGCAGCTGTCTTGGAAAACATTGCCACGAGAAGGGATCTCGGTTAAATTCGTCCCGATCACACAGCTAATTTAATTGTACAGGTGAGTTTAGGATCTAGGTTAGGATCGAGGATGAGATTAGGAGCCTCAGCCGTGCTTGGATGTAAAGAGGAACTTTAATTCATAGTTACCTGCCAGTAATCATTCTGGGTAGTCCCTCAGGCACTTTGCGTTAGAGGTATGCTAGAGCTTTATGATTTGCCCTTTGGAAATGAACTGTGATGTTCATTTTATACAGAGTGGGTTGGGGAACAGCACCAGGCATTTGACCTCCAAGACTTCGGCTTTTATTTGTTAGGCTCAGAGA